CTAGTTGTGAACGAGCTGCAGCGGCCGCGCTGACCGTTACTCCAAGGCTAACTGGGCGCCTCCCTCCGCCGCACGCCCTCGCGCGCTGCCCCTCCGCTCACTTGGCGGTAATTTTATAATATTATTACAAATGTATAAAATAAAGATCTAGAGAAGTACAGGAGGCACTTGACGCTAGAGGCGGTATAGGTACACTAACTAATCATTCAACTGGAGTAGGTCGTATTGACGTTGTTAAATGGTGGAACGGTTGGAAACCTAGTATATGGCTTTATTCGTAACATTGGTCACTGTAACTGAGCATGTTTTAACTCATTTAATTTTTATCGCAGTCCTTATATCCGACCTCCACCATCCCCTAACAATTGACTGCCCTTGATTTCGCCAATTTCTGTGTCATTAAAAATAATTTAAATTTAAATTTAGTTTAAATGTAATTTCTTTCCCAAAGTTTCTCATTAAATTATTTTCATAAAACTGAATTACAAAGAAAAGTGGATTTGACAGTGATGGTGATGACACATAGGAACAGGAGATAACCTTTATGTGCGTGTCCAATTCTGTCCATGAGATGATATTGATATTGCGTGGGATAGGCAAAGGTCGATTCGCTTTTTAGGCAAATTTAGATGGCCGTTCATATAATAAAAGCCGACGGAAAGTAATCATATAAATATACATATTATAGATGCGAAAGTTATGATGGATTGATGGATGGATGTTTGTTAACGTTTGTAGCCTAAACGGCTGAACGGATCTCAATGAAGTTTGGCACAGGTTTACAGCATAGTCTGGAAAAACACATAGGCTACTTTTTATCCCGGGAATAGGAACAAGGTCTGGAGTACACATGAGATAAGGGTCATCCCCGAGAAATGTCCGGTTCCCGAGAGATACGTAGATTTTTGTTATTTATATAGTTCCTATGTTTTCTAATACCATGTGGACGAAGTCGCGAGCAACAGCTAGGAAACAATATAAACACAATTTCAGTAGTTGCAAACTTCTTTATTAAACCAAATTATAAAAGTAATACATGTTCTACACCGCGGGTCACCGCCGCGCCCTCCAGACCAACATGATTCGTCACAAGATTCCTCAGCGCCGTTTTACGAAACACTTTATCAGTATTATTAGTTATATTGCCTGTTAAGCTTAAAAATATGCCGATAAATTCATATAACAAGCTATTGTACATTTTCCATTATCTCATCAGAAATATTTTGCAGTCGCTGAGGCTGCTGCCGCTGCCCCTGCCCCTGCCCCTGCCTCTGCCGCCTCTGGTCGCTGGCGACGGTGGAATAAGCCGGGTTCGGGAGTGGCGGCAGTGCGGCGGCTCCGCGACGACGGATGCTCTCGAAATAGCTCTTCTATCGTATATTATCATTAAGGTGTCGTCGACTTCATCATGGCCATGGCTATGAAACCCGTTTGGCCGTGGAGCAGCCGGCACGGGCAGCGGAATGCGCTCGCCTCGCCGCGACATCTGCTCCCTGCCCCCCGGCCCCGCCGCCCCGCCGCCCCTGCCCGCGCTAACTGTCACAATCTTACAATACTCGCTACACGTATGTATGTATACAAGACATCCAATTTAATAAACCTCGAAAATAGTTACCAAGGTTAATTAAAAACACCAACTACTCCTATGTGTCTGTCACACGCAACTTGTTATAGATACTATCCGTGTTGCTTAAAAATATTGAAAAAAAAATTAAAATGAATGAAAATCGTATTGTTGCACAAATATAGTTAACATGTTTTTTATTTTTGTCTTAAAGGAGAGTTTTTTACTTATATAATTTTCAATTAATAAAATGTACTGACTAACATACGAGTATATTATTATTATAATTTAACGGGTATAAGAGTATTAATGTCTATTTAACACTGTTTAATTCTTAGTTTATGAGATTCTTCTTTCCTCCACTTCACTCCTTCTACATGGCCATGACAGGTTTTTTGATTTTTTAAGTGACCTGGTTTTAATGCTCTTGAGTTTAGGTACTTGTAGTTATTGTAAGTAAGTGTATATGACACTTACAATAACTAAATTGAAAAACATTGCGTGTACGATGAGAGGCCAAGTCACACAAGGAAATTTACTCGTAAAAATCATTTGACATCTCAATCGAGCCAAGTCTGAAGAGTCATGGTGCCACATAGGTGGAGGACTATGTTTCGAGACCCTCTCACAAACTAAGTACGTTCGAAGCGACCTAAGAGCTCGGCGGCTTCCCCATCCGGTAATAACAAGGTAACGGCCCGTGCCTAGCCCTCGAGCTTAGTTACCTATAAACGAGATTTAGGCTAAGCGCCATCTGCGCTCGGCCACTTCAAGCCCGGTGAATCTGTAAATGCCTTTTCAAGGCAAACAGTGGCAATTCAGTAACAAAAAAAGTCACTTTAAAGTCGGCTAAGCGTCCAGGCTAGAGCGGTAACGTTTGGCCGGAATTCGGTAATAAAATGATGTAATTACCACGCTTCCAGTGAGGCCATCAATCAGTTAATAAGTTCCACACGAAATAGAGAAATGATTTGCTTGTCTTGCAATGAAATCAGTGATTGCGAGGATGTCGTGCGACCGACGACGGGCGCAAGTGTTCCGCCAGATGGTGTGCGGCGTTACCGCGCGTAGTGCGCTGCCGATTGAGGGGGGCGCGAGCGGCTGACCAACGGCTCGGAGCTGCGTCCGCGGACCCAGCGCGCCCCCGCGCGGCTCCACACACGCTGGCTCGCACACGCATCGTTCTGTTTTAACAAAAGTCGTTAACCTATTATAGCAACATATGTTGTCAAATAAAGATATTACAATTGATGTCACGGGCCGATGTTGGATCCCATTTTAAGTTGCTCAGGCTTTACAAGCACTGTATATTGTATATCTAACACGTTTATTCGGAAAATTGTAAATTTTAAACATTTAGTAACCACTCTATTCCGGTCATTTTTTTTACTATCGCTAACGTTAAGTTAGTAACTAAAAGAGCATATTAAATCCTGCCTAACAAGACCGCACACTTCAATTGTTTAATGTATTACATAGTTGTATATA